TTTTATATATATATATATATATATATATATATATAAAATCCCCATCCGATATTCGATACCGTTCTACCACCTTACGCGGACATTTCTGCTCTCACCCTGTGCGATGCTGCCCTTTGCCTGTTAAGGTCTTTTGTGACGTGTTCTTTCAAGCGCCAGAGTGAATACTGTTTCTTGCTCTGACGACAGGATAGACATCGTAAGTATGGCTGTGTAAGCGAATTGCTGATTCATGTCAGTTTATGTAAATAGAATGGAAAGAGAAAACTTTCAATTTGGTATCATGTAGTTTATTTTCATTGAATGAAATCCAGCATTTCTAGCGTTTAACAACTTTCTTCAATATCAGGTTCAATTAGAAACTCCATAGTTTCTAGCTGGAATACCTATTTCTATGTGTCACTTTCGGTATTGTTCGTAATGTTTTCCGTCGCTGGGCGGCCATCACATCCAGGCTGACTTGGACACCATGATGCACGAAGCCCAGAGCCTCAAATCACAACTCACTTATGAGACGAACAAAGTTGCGGAATTACAAACCCGTTTGGACGAGGCTCAGGCGGAACAAACGAAACTTCGCGAACTGACCACATGTGCTGACAGTGAGCGAGTGGATTTGCTCAAAGAATACCGGTAAGATACAGTACGGATGCTTGGTAACGATCTTGAATATTCAAAAGCGTTTACTTCATCCATGACCTATATTCAAGACTTTCCATTTGTCATTTAGCGATCATCTAGGCAGTTTAAGTAGCTGACTATAAGGGCTGCCATATGTCGTTTCAGTGGTACACATGATTATCTTTTTATAGGTGACTGTAACATGGTGTTAAGTTATCCCTGCAGTTGATTCGTAGAGAATATATTTGACGTTACGGCGGGGATGTGCACGCTATCGTTCTTCAACACAGGTTCTTGTAACGAACACACGTGGTTGAAAGTGGCACACATTTAAGTTGATTATTGAGGAGCATGTGGAGTATGGAATAAAATTTGACTCATCCTACTTGTAAATTCCAAAACGACTTGTTCTGGTTCGACCGTAGCCCGAATGTATTCGACTATTCCACGGTCGTTCTGTATAGCGTCAATGAGACCTTTGAGCAACGCGTAGCGAAATGCGAACCCCGAAGTCAGAACGATATTGATCCGCAATGCGTACGGTACTGTTTATTTCATTAGGCGAGTCAAAGAACAAC